CATGCACTACATCCTATCCCTGACAGAAATGGAACACTTTCATAAAAGGAATTAGCATAATTCATCTGGAGCATCATTGTGTGTTTTGAAATGAATCAAGAAAGTGCTCCCATGTTTCTTAAAATGTATCAGTTTAGTGTTGAAGAGAGCATCTAATCCTTTCCAGTTTCATCCAGTATAGTCATATTCAAACCTTCCCATGAAGTTTTTAGTTCAGGTGAGGCAATCTCTTTCATAGTCAACATTTTATTCTAAAGCCACAAAATCAGCCCTTTACGAGTTGGGTTCAGTAATTGGATGGATTCCAACAATGCGTACTCTAGCAAAGATTTATGTTGGTTTTTATACTACACTATACATCTGGATAAAAAGGTTCCATGTTGACAGCGATAAAAAGCTTAAGAATAATAAGCATAGGACTCGTTTATGGATTTGTTATTCCTGCTGTTTTGTCACCCTTATTTGTTTGATTAACAGTTCATATTTAATGTTTGACAAAGATAAACTGAGTAAATCTTGCAGATCTGTGTCTTACTTGAGATATTTTTGAGGTATGGCGGCTAGGGCGCCTGAGGTAGCTTATAGTACGACACTAATGAACAGCGACAGTCAGGGCCGCTGATGCCCTGCCCTATGGATCAAGCAGCTCTGTGGTGGACCCAAACAAGCTCTTGTTCCTGCTGCAGCTGCATACCAATGCTGCGTTGGGTTTCCATGTCCAGAATAACAACGCAGGCAACTTTATTAGCAATTCTGTTGAAGATTTAAAAAGTTGGTGAAGCCATTGTCAAGAAATAACACATCTGTGGGTCTTAGTTACAGAAGGATATGTCTGCATGGCATCCTCCTGCTGTGCAAACAGCCACTGCAATCACTCACATGCTGCATGGTATTGTTATCTGTATCAATGCTCCTGTGCAGCAGTGTCTTAAGCAATCATATTTGTGTGTGGATACAGTAACATAGCAAGAGAATGAGATATTGATTTTCTGGCTGCCATATTCTGTAAAAAAAACACAGCTGATTTCATCAAACATTTGAAGATGATACTAAATTTCCCTTTTTTTTTTCTTTGCCAGAGGAGGGTGTCATTAGAGAACTAAGTCAATCCTTTCAAATATGCATTATATTTGGAACAACCCTTTAAAGTCAAATGTTGCCCAGAGAAAGAGCCAAAGTTTTAGCCGGTTGGGTTTTGAAGTTGAATAGTTTGGTGTACTTAAAATTGTTCAGGTTTGGTTTGACCACATCCAACTCTGACACACACACACAGAAGCTTTCTGCAGCTTCTGCTGCTCAGGGAGGCCCCCTGCCATATTGTCACAAATGGGTAGACTTCTGCCTAAGGTGACGGGGGATACTGGATAGAAGAGCGGGAGTGCTGTTGTGCTAAAATGATTACAGAGATTAAGATGAAAAGTCTTGTTTTCCCCCCCGACGCTGGTGTGATGATGGAAGATGGAAAAAAATGCAAGCCTGATTTGTTCTCACCAAGGAGGCAAATGACACATTGTGGGCAAAACGTCGGCTCATCGCAATTAAGAAACCCATGCTTAGATTTGAGTTTGATGCAGAGCTCCTGTAAATCTTTTCCAGCATCTCAGAAGTAGCATTTGCTCATCACAGATTATAAGGTAGAAAGTAAATCTGCAACTAGCTACTCCTGAAATATTTATGGTGTAAAAAAGAAAAGCACCCCACATAAATTTCAAAATAGTATTTATTTTGCTCTTCCACCAAACAGGGTGTCTCCATTGGGAGTAACATAGAGTTGCAGTATGAACAGCCAGCCTGATGTTATGCTGTGTAAGACAACTCCAAACCCTCTGTGCTTTTTTTTTTTTTTTATAAAATGCTAATTTACTTCAGAAACCAAGTAATTGGCCTCTCCACGGAAAAATCCTCATACAGGGTAGGAATAGACCTTAATATGTAGGTCATATGAATATTAAGCATCATTTACAGTTTATTGTTTTTGTTTGCTCCAAGCACAGCAGTATATCCATTTATAGGCTGAATATTTCTGACAGTCTGAATGTGGCTGAAACAATCAAAATATATCTTTCTGCATTATTTACTATGTAGAAAAAGAAAAAAAAGGATTGTCTTGATTTCAACTTGTTTGTAGCCGTCCATAAAACCTATTCTGACTAAGCGTTAATACCTACTCTTACAAAGAAACAAAAGTTTATGATGGATAAACAAAACTCAGAGAAACTATAGATTTTGGTCAGCAGGAAAATTTTGGCAGAATCTGTGATCGGGAGAGAAAATCTGAAGCTAAAACTGTGGAAGGAAAGACCCTTCCAGGCAGTATGATTAAATGCCAGGACAGGACCAGTATTGCAAAGACGGAACACTCTGAGAACAGACCTCGCTCTGTACCAAGGTAGAAATGATTAAACAAAATAATGAACAAGCACTGGAGAGTCACTCAAAGTGATGCAACACTGAGTCAGATTTTATTTGATCCGCTGTTCAAAGACTTTAGGGGATGGCGTCCTTTACAGGGTAATCATGGATTGCTTTTGCATAAAGGGCAATCAGAAACGGCTTACTAATAATAATTTTATGAATTGTTCAAAAATGAATTGTTGGCTGGAATTTGCAAGCTTTGTTGAATACAAGGACATTTGCAGCGGTCCAATTTTGCAGATTAGAGCTTTTTCAGCTTTTACTGTTAATATTATTATTCAGCGGTCAGGGGCTATTTTTTTTTTTTATAAACAAAGGAGTAATACATGCATCTAAACCTTGCCTTCTGTTTATCTGAGATTGGGCTGTGGGTGTAACAGGTCAGGGAGCAAACTCCAGGCATTCCTTAAATGGGATGTGATGTATTTTCTTGGAAAACTTTGGAGCCCTTAGTTTAAACTGAACTTTGTTCTAACACCACAGCCTAGTAGTCACTGACAGGTCCATCTCTGTATGAACACAATAGCCAATGGCTCCCATCAGCAGGATAAAGCACTGTGCCATAAACCTCATTTCATACCTAACTACTTGCCTAAAAATGTTGATTGCCTTACTCTACTCCGGCATTATTCAAAGTCAGCAGATTTTTTTTTTTTTAAATATGCTGAAATGGGAGATCTAAATCATAGATTCAGTCAAGAAATCTGCAATAAAGAAGTGAGGTATTTCTGTCTTATTAAAAGTGTCCAGCCCAGTACTAACAAAGTGCAGTGAGTCCTGCACAGAGGTCTCTTAACAGAAAAGCATTGCTGAACATGTTTTCAAGGTTTCTTCTAATACTGCCCCATGGATATCTGTCTGATTGATTTAATCAGGGTTTGATTTATTTGATTGATTTTAAACAGGGTTTTTTGAATCCCCAGTTTCTGAGACTGACACTTCCGCAAAGTGTTAAAAACAAGTGCAGTTTCAAGGGATTGAACCATATCTATAGAGCTGGCACTGAATGTGTTGTGAAAAGTGTTGTGGCAGCACCAACCTGCACACTAGAGGGACTGTGATGTACCAGAGGAGACATGGGAAAAGCAAATTGAGCATGAGCTGGATTTTTAACATCTTGACCTCAATTAAGCAAAGGTGACATCTGTATCCAACGCCCGACAGTCAGCATCACCCACAGCAGCGCTTCAGTTGCAAAGATGACTTTCTTGTTCTTGCTTCAGCTACCAAAGAAAAAGATCTTGCTCCTCATCATGATGAATTTCCTTTCAGATTTCTTAAGTTGTTGCAGATTCCAAAATGTCTTGCATGTAGGACCTTTGAATAGGTATTTTCTCCTATCTTTTTGCGTCTATTTTTCTCAGCTGACTCTTACATAGAGACGTAGAGACTTTACTTTGAGCTCCTGGCCTGATCCATCAGTCTGATTCCAATATTCAGAGGAAGCTCATTTCAGCTGCTTCTATCCAGGTCATGATCCTGTGTAGGAGCAATATGTAGGGCATAGAAAATTAGATGGAGCAATAAATCAAGAGATTCTCCTTTCAGCTCATTTATTTTCTTTATCACAACTTGTGATAACCTCCATCATGCTCCTGAAAAAGACACTACAAATACTTTAACAGCATGATCAATCCCTAGTGGTACCAGAATGGCTTTAGAAGGGAGGGTAGAGTCTCCTCAGAGGCGTATCTCAGTCAGATCCAGAAGAAAGTCATCTTTTAATTGGGGGGCCTATCATTGTGTTTGGATTACATAATAAGATAAATAAGGGGGGGAAAAACTCCTCTGGGCTTTTTTAGAAAAAGGGCTGTTTATATATTTTAAGAAGAAATCCATTAAGCCTTCATGATGTTTTTTTCTGTTTTCATCTGATTAATATTTCAGAAGATTAATTAAACCTTTGACTCTTGTTATTATTTTACTGTATGAAGAGCAATTTAAAAAAATAACAGTGTAGAAGTGCACATACATAGAGGCAAAATAAACCCGACTCGCCTATAGAGCCTTGGTGATAACTCCAATGAAAATCTTTGAAAAGCATTAGGTCAGACGCTTAGACTAGGCTTTCAACAGCAGTGTCTGACCTCAAAGATGATCTAGTGTCAAAAAACGGTAAAAAATGTGCTGAAATAGTCTCTTAGCAGATGTGATGGCAGATGATCTAATAGTGTTAAGTTGTTGCAATAAATAAAATGATCAACCTCCATTTTTACCCTCTACCAAAATCTAAGAAGCAGGCCAAAGGTTTTATGGGGAGATCTTTGATCTTTCCCCTTTTTGGACAAACAGGCAATGTTTTCTCTGCAAGCCTTAATTCTGGGTTAGAATGTATGATCTCAGCCCTGGGAAAGCTGTGACGTTACGGGTTTGATGAATTGTTGAAAATCCCCCGGTCTGAATTGTGCCTCAATCATCTGCTGCTAGATAACGATGGGAAAGATGGTGGAGAGATGTATTCAGTTATATGAATCTCATGACTCCTGTATGTCCAGAGGATGCATGAACTGTAGAATGACCCCTGCTGGTACACAAACTCACACTCTGCAGTCTTTACTCTCTGCTTTTTTTTTTTCCAATTGCAGCCAATGGGGAGTTTCCACCAGTGGCCACCAGTATAACTCAGCTCCCATTAAGACCTACCGACAAGACTCCTTTGCCTTCCATCAAAAGCCCTCCTATGAACCATGACACAATTGTTGACAGTAAGTGTGTGCTTCTCTGAACCAATCATATTTTGGTGTGAGTGAGTGAGAAGAAAACATTTGGTGTTTTTTTTTGTCTCTAACTGCTGTTTTGCCCTCTCCCACACACTCACCCTCACATACTATAATGAGCCACAAATCAGGTTATCCTGCTGGGTTTGGTGTTAATGTGTGGCAGCAAAAAAGTAAGTGTGCCCCCTACTGGTGTGCTCTGTGTTGGACAGCCGTGAAAGTGTTGCAGAGGTCTTCGGCATTAAATGAAACAGGACTGATAGTTTTGATGTGTAAAATCCTCCAATTTGTCTCCAGAAGATTTCATTGGATCCACTTGCACTGACTTGACATCTTCTCTTCCTGCACTTTGTAAATTCCCTACTTCAAAAGAGTAAAGACAAGCAGATGTTTATGTTTTAGATTTTAAGCTTCAAGTCAGTGGCTTTACCATGAAATGTTCTTGGAAATATTTTTCCCCAGGAGGAAGCTTTAAAGTATTTAAAGTACATTTTGAACTTCTAGAAAGTTCTACTCCCAAAGTTATCAGATTATTCCTCCTTTAGAGTGTGTCTCCGGTTGATTGTATTTGTCAGGAAGGGTTTGTAACCCTCCAATTATCCATGCATAGGTTAACATTACTATCCACATTAATTCAATTCAATTCAATTCAGTTTATTTATATAGCGCCAAATTCACAACACATGTCATCTCAAGGCACTTTACAGTTCAACCAGATCATACAGTCAAATTGATACAAAGTTTTCTATCTAAGGAAAACCAGTTGATTGCATTGACTCATTGACTCAAATACAATCCCCCACACTAAGCATGCTTGTAGCGACAGTGGAGAGGAAAAACTCCCTTTTAACAGGAAGAAACCTCCAGCAGAACCAGGCTCAGTGTGAGCGGCCATCTGCCGAGGCCGACTGGGGTTCAAGGAGACAGAAGCAGAGATACAAAAAGCAGCTGTAAAAGGCGGCCCCGTCCAGGAAACACACAGCCAGGCAGACGAGCTCCAAGGCAGCTCCCATGCCAGAGGACGAAGAGAGCACATCCACTCAGTCACGGTCAGAGAAACAGGACCACACTGGAAAACAGGCCGATCTCCAACATCTATTAACAAGGGTGTTGATAGAAGCAGCACAGCTGATGTTTTTTCCAGGATGACGTCACAGCCAAACAGGAACAGACGAGGCAAAGCTACTCTGAGGAAAAGCAGAGAGAGCAGAAGGTTAGAGATTGAACTAACAGATTCTGCAGAATAGGAGAACAGAGAGAGAATGAAGCAGAATGATGAAATGGGGGTCCCTATGTCCTCCAAAAGTCTAAGCCTATAGCAGCATAACTATAGAGATAGCTCAGGATAACCTGAGCCACCCTAACTATAAGCTTTATCAAAAATGAAAGTTTTAAGCCTAGCCTTAAAAGTAGACAGGGTGTCTGCCTCACGGACTAAAACTGGTAGTTGGTTCCACAGGAGAGGAGCCTGATAACTAAAAGATCTGCCTCCCATTCTACTTTTAGAAATTCTAGGAACCACTAGTAAACCTGCAGATTGAGAGCGAAGTGCTCTGTTAGGAACATAAGGAACAATCAGATCTCTGATATAAGATGGAGCTTGGCCATTTAAGGCTTTATATGTGAGAAGGAGGATTTTAAATTCTATTCTTGATTTAACAGGAAGCCAATGAAGAGAAGCCAGGATAGGAGAGATATGATCTCTCTTTTTCATTTTCATTAGAACTCTGGCTGCAGCATTTTGGATCAGCTGAAGGCTTTTAACTACAGTTTGTGGACTTCCTGATAGTAAAGAATTACAATAGTCCAGCCTTGAAGTAACAAATGCATGGACTAGTTTCTCAGCATCACCCCTGGACAGGATATTTCTAATTTTTGCAATGTTCCTCAGATGAAAGAAGGAAATTCTAGAAACCTCTTTGATATGGGATTTAAATGACAGGTCCTGATCAAAAATAACACCAAGATTTTTTACTTTATTATCTGAAATCAGTTTAATCCCATCCAAATGAAGTGACTGGCTAATCAGCTTCTTCCTCAGAGACTCCGGCCCAAAGACTACAACCTCCGTCTTGTCTGCATTCAGAAGCAGAAAATTAAGAGTCATCCAGGTTTTTATGTCTTCAAGACATGCCTGTAATCTATGTAATGGGTTAGCTTCATCTGGATTTATAGACAGATATAGCTGGGTATCATCAGCATAACAGTGGAAATTAATCCCATGCTGTCTAATAATTCTACCAATTGGGAGCATGTATAAAGTAAAGAGAATTGGTCCTAGCACTGATCCCTGTGGTACTCGACAGGTAACCTTTGAGCGTGTTGAAGATCTATCATTAACATGAACAAACTGAATTCGATCAGATAGATAAGATTTAAACCAGTCTAGTGCTGTTCCTTTAATTCCAACAAAATATTCAAGTCTTTCTAAAAGAATATTATGGTCAACTGTATCAAATGCAGCACTAAGATCCAACAGGACGAGCACAGATACAAGTCCATTATCTGAGGCCATGAGAATATCATTAGTTACTTTCACCAGAGCTGTTTCAGTGCTATGATGAGCTCTAAAGCCAGACTGAAACTCTTCAAAAAGTTCATTATGGTGGAAGTGATCGCAAACTTGTTTGGCAACTACTTTCTCAAGAATTTTGGATAAGAAAGGAAGATTGGATATAGGTCTATAATTGACCAAGTCATCTGGGTCAAGAGACGGTTTCTTAAGCAGAGGTTTAATTACAGCAATCTTAAAAGCTTTAGGTACATATCCCTGTAACAGAGATAGATTAATCACATCTAAAATGGAGGAGGAGATCAAAGGGAATACCTCCTTAAATAACCTGGTTGGAACTGGATCTAACATACAAGTTGAAGGCTTAGATGAAGACAATAATTTTGCTAATTCAGAGAGTTCAACTGGATCAAAGCAGTCTAAACCCGGTTCAGATTCCATGACTACCTCAGGTACAATCGCGGATAGAGGAGTGCTTATGATCTTATTTTTAATAAGATCAATCTTATTTATAAAGAATCCCATAAAATCATTGCTGCTAAGAGCAGGTGGAATGGACGGTTCAACAGAGCTATGGCTCTGGGTGAGTTTGGCAACTGTATTAAAAAGAAATCTAGGATTATTCTTATTCTCCTCTATTAATGAGGAGAAGTATGCTGCTCTTGCTTTACAAAGGGTCCTCTTATACAGCAGTAAACCATTTTTCCAGACTAGGAAGGACTCTCGCAGGCCTGTGGAGCGATATTTTCTCTCCAGTTTCCTAGCATTTTGCTTCAAAGTACGCAGCTCTGCATTAAACCAAGGAGCAAGCTTTCTATTTTTAACGGTTTTCATTTTCAAAGGAGCTGCGTTGTCTAAGGCAATACGCAGAGAACTAGCAACCCCCTCAACAAAATCATCAACCTGTGAAGGGGAATAAGCTAAGCTTTTGCACTCTGCAGCACTGCTCAGTGACACAGAGCAGAGAGAAAGTGAAGCAGATTCTTTAAAATTTATAACTGCACTATCTGATAAAGATCTACTAAAATTGAACCTTCTTTTGGGGGAGGAGAACTCTGTTAAAGTAATCCTGAAGGTTATTAGAAAGTGGTCAGAGAGGACAGGGTTGTGAGGAAATACTGTTATTTCTTCACATTCTATGCCGTATGTCAGCACAAGATCCAAAGTATGAAGATGAGAATGCGTGGGACTATTCACATTTTGAACAAAGCCAATAGTGTCTAAGATAGCATTAAAGGCTGCTCTTAAGCTATCGCCTTCAATGTCAGCATGGATGTTAAAATCTCCCACTATGATGACCCTGTCAGTATTTAATACCAAATCAGAAAGGAACTCTGAAAACTCATCTAAAAATTCAGAGTAAGGACCTGGTGGACGATACAAAGTTACAAAAAGAAGAGGTTTTCTTGCCTTGAAATTTGGATCAGGGAAATTAAGGGTTAAATGTTCAAAAGAGTTGTAGGAATTAATTGTTTTGGGAGTAATCAGTAAGTCAGCCTCGAAGATTGTTGCTACTCCTCCTCCTCGCCCAGAACTTCTGGGGATGTGAAAATTTAAATAGCTTGAAGGAGTTGCCTCATTTATGCTCACATAATCCTCTTGCTGCAGCCAGGTTTCTGTAAGGCAAAACAAGTCAATGTGATTATCACAAATCAAGTCATTAACTAGTAGACTTTTAGAGGAAAGCGATCTTATGTTAAACAGACCGCATTTAATTGTTTTAACTTTTTCCCCAATTGGAGTTATTTTGATTTTAATTAGATTATCATGATTTACTCCTTTGGGAATCTTTGCTAATTTATTAGATTTTGGTCGTGGGCAAGACACTGTCTGGATGGACATTACTAGCAGCTAATATTCCTTGTCATGTTTGCAGACCAAAAAGCAAACATTACATCTAATACCTACATTGAGCTGCACAAGAGACAACTTAAGGAACACAAGGATCAGTGACGTGCGGTGAGGTTCATAGCTGGTGAGGCACTGACGTCATCAGAATCAGATTTGCAAATAGATGCATAGATTGACAGCAGTTTACAGGTTATGTTTCACTTCTGCATCCTTACACATACAAACTGTAGCTCACAAAACACACATTTCCTTAAAAAACAAAACAAAATAAATGTTATTACTGTCTTACCTTTACTTATAAATGAATAGAAGTCCTCCTTATCTTCCTTCAGTTTTAAAAGTCTCTCTGTCTCAATGGAGATCACTGCCAGGGAAGAAAGCCTTCCTTGATCCGTCCTGTTCCTGCCTTATGTTTTCAGTCTCTTGAGCACCCCCTGCCATGAGGCAAGAGAACTGCCTGCCTCACCTCGAACTTGTTCTCTGCCGTTTATAATCGCTCATTACACGAAACACGTTACACAAACACAGTTGGTGACAAAAAGCTCTGTACATTATATACATAAGCCAAATTATTAGAAATAAGTTCACATATTACATTTGTTTAAACCATTTTATTGACGCCGTA